TTGGTTATTGATAAATTTAAACAACGCATAAGTAGGGCCAAGAGCCCACACACTTCTACCGTTCACTCAAATAACAACATTCAGCAACTGGTCTTAATTTTGCTTATAAGGGGCCTGGTTTATATATGCATGCAGTTCCTCCTATACTTTTATGAATAACAGTGTAAAACATTGCAAGTGTTTGTTTGGTGTGGTTCGTTCAGTAAATCTATTTTATGTGCAGGTGCTGCGTAGTAAGTATCGCGATAATAATTCATAATGTATGTGGCGTGGTGCAATTACGTCAACAAATTGTTAAATATACGGTAGTACCTCAGGTTTTATTCGCTGGTGCAACACTCATATTTGTATGTGACACTGTCCTCTTTCAGGTCTTCCCCGCAGGCGCACTTGATATGGAAATCATAGTTATTTCACAGCCTCCTGCAATTGCCAACTCTCGTTAATATGTGTATGGACTACGTTATTTATGGTATTTGACTCCAGTCATATCAATACCAGCTAGAACTTAACTAATGCAAAGATAGAAGTTAAATGACGGATAAATGTTTCGTTCTTATCATCGGCGACGTGGTCAGCGTGAATGATATCCTTTGCAGATGATCAGTGCTACATTATTCTGTAGACATTTTATCCATGAGTTTATTTGCATTCAGAATACATGTTACGGCCGTTTGATGCGCCAGTGCCCGTTAATTCCATATTACTGAATAATGACGGAGAATAGATAACAACTTGTTATACAAGCGTGCTTTTTCTTATTTGGCAAGAATTCTCCTTTATAATGATTCCTTGTCTTCGAAGTTTGGATGACACGTTTCAACAATCACTTTTATCCTGCCCTATTAGGGTACTCTGCCTGCCTTTGTTTTTTTGTTTCCATTTCGTACCATTCAAATTCCAGGAATTTTTTTATGTACTTAACAGGTAGTCCGCCGTTTTGATCCTTTGCGGGGCGCAGAGCAATCAGAGTATCAAGTCGTTTGCGTGATGCCGGGCACTAAAACTGGCTCATACTCCGGAGATGCTCCTCGTAAAACATTTTGCTGTAAGTTGCTTTCTCAACAAGCCTACTGTCTGTCTAGATCGATTTCATCAACAGCAACTACCTTTTACGTCCGGGATCCCCCGTAAAGGCTCGGGTTCTGCAATCTTTCTTGCCTTCGGACTACTCTATTTGTCAATCGGACTTTTCCTGGTATATACATCAACACAGCTACGGGAGTATCGGATTGAATACTCCGACTGTGTTCCCGGAAAAGAACAACCCACATGCTCTAAACCATTCAATATTTCTAAACATTTGAAGGTAGATAACATTTACAATATTGAATTTCTTTTTAAAATTCAAGCTTTTGCATCCGGTCTAATTTCTGTTCTAAACTCTGGTTTCCATAGTTATCCTTTCATAACAAGGGGATAATTTAACCTGATTTTTGAGTCTCCCACGTCAGAAAACTAAATTTTCCTTTATATTTTCTGCTTCGCTTTCTCTTAACGATTTTTCCCCACTATCCACATTAAGTCAAATTATAATGATTTTTCGGAAAAACGGACGATCAGACCCATTGTTTGCTCGAAAAAAGGGGGGCTTCTTTTTGTCTTATTTTTGAATGCGATATTAACAAAGAAAACCAAACAATAACTTGCGAAAACCGAGCTCTCAATGCAGCTACGTGGTGGGCGTTGAAATCAGACTTTCACAATAATTTTTTCTCAACGTTACTCCGTTACCTATGCTAAAGACGTGCTTGTTTCTTGTCGAAGGTCGTTGTTTGCTTTAGTATGTGTTCATTTCATACTTTAAAACGCTTGTTTTATCGATTGAATTGACACTCTTTCTCTGGACCTTTTTTTAATTTTAACCAATCGTAGATGCTTTCCAATGAAAATGGCCTTTCTGATTGTCAGGATTTCTCAGTTATTTTCTTCAAGAATAATGAGGGCCTACATTCTATACTGACTGGACAACTTCTCATAGAAATTAACTAGTTGAAGTCTATAGCCATCGTCCATTTCGTCAGGGGGTCGAACAGCCTGTTCTGAACTTTATTCTGGGATGTTATGCAATCAAATAAATCGCCTCATCGATCCAATATCTTCTCATAGTCTCTTTTATCTTGTTTCCAAATAGGCCCCGGTTTACATGTACTATGAGCTAAGTAGCTTTTACCAAAATCATCGTACCTTTGCTCGCTCTGTGAGTATAGAACAGCTTCGTGGACTGAATGTATCCAAAAAGAATCTACAAAAGTGTCAGCCCCTTCTATCTCCGAAAAATGGATCCGACGTATACATGCCGTGTGGCCTGTTATCAAATAGCATCTTTAACGATACCATCCTCTTAAAGTTCGTTGAAAGTCCGTCCTCAACGCATCCAGTTCCTTTAAAGAATTCCTCCATCGCTTGGAAGTCCGACATTGAGAAGATGTATGGAACGGTGCCTCAAAGCGGTAACATTATATTTTCGTTTGTTCTTTAGCAATGTT